TTCTTACCAAAATGATCAGCGAAAAAGCTCTACAAAAATAGATATAAGAGAAAATTTTTAGAATATCCTTGCTATTCGTTTATGTGTAAAAATAAAAAAGTCCAGGCTTTTTTCGGCCCTCAATGTACTGATCGCTGGCAGAGATGTTGATGGTATACTGTTCGGCGATTTTGGACGTATTATTTTATTTCTTGGACGAAGTTGCATTGCAGTTGTGGATAAACGTGGCATCATTGTTTGAGCTGGCTTTGTTGATTTTGTGTGGTTACCAGCTAATGCTGTTGTCTTGCTATTGTTATTACTCGTAATTACTTTAGCTGCTGCTCTAGTAATTACATTATTTATCTCTTGTTACAATATTTACTGCTGTCTTAACCTTGAAAATAGACTCAGTCCTGTAGCCAGAATAAAAATAAGTAGCTCAACTTCATAAAATAAATAGTTGTTCGTAAGAACATGTTGATTTTCGTGCTGTGATTTGACTTCAGAGAAAACTCTAATAGATTAAACCATAAGAAAACACCAGAGGTACAAAGTTAAAAAAGTTAAAAAAAACTACAGTTATTTAGTATCGTATCGTTTTAGATTTGATTTATCCACATAAAATGTATTTAGATCTTGGACTACATTTTTATCACGAATATCAAAATATTTCTAAACAAAACAAAGACATGTAGCACATGGAGAGAGCGTCGTTCGTCTCGAAGATAACTCATCACTTGCATCAAATTACACAGCAACAATGAAGTTTAATAATATAAATAGTTCAAAAATCACTCAGTATTTATTTGAAAATCAAACTTATCTTGCTGATAAAGAAATAATTAACTGGTGCCCAAAATATGTTCCTCTATACTCACTGAAAACAAATGGTAAATTTGTCTATTTTTCTCCGATTTTGAGGTTGTTTTTTTATTATAAAACTGGTGAATATCTTGTGCCCAGTATTAACTAGCTAGAATATATTCTGGTTTACTTAAAACTTTCTTTTTCTCTTCGACGATCTAGCCGACTAGTAGTAAAATTGCAAAACATGACAAGGTCATAATGTTAGACAAAATTGCGAGTGTAATCTGTTGAAAACTTTTGACTACATCTTTGAACAGTTGCACATTTTGCTTGTACTTTTTCCCAGTTAAAGATAATGTTTGATGGATGCATGTTTATTAAATACGATTGGGATACAAGATTCATCGTTCGTCGTCATTTATTTAATTATATTAAAGCAAATGAAACTGCAATACATGACAGGTGGAGGTACTCCAGAGTGGCTTTCGATCAAGAGTTAGGAATTGATTTAGAAGAGAGTATACTTGAAGAAGTAAGCCTAAAGGAAAAGTGTGTATGTAAAAATCAAGCTATTCTCTTTCACATAAAACAGCCAAACAACGTAACATCGTCATGAGTGAAAATCAATCAAAATTTACTATAATTTAAGATATATCAAATATTTTAGATAAGACAACTATCAACAATCTTCCATCCCAAGCTACTGCAATAGAAAAAATACTAAATGAAATGAAAACCTTAGATTCAACAGCAACGATTGATGTAACAATATAAGCAGACAATCAGCTTGAAATGATTTATATTGCAGCAACACAAATGAAAGAAAATTTTAAAGAATATTATCACATTATATTTTTGTATGCTACTACAGAAATAATATAGAAGGATTTTGTTTGTATGTATTCTTAATACAAGATGGTCGAGAGATAGGTATGTGGCAAAACAATTCTAAAATTTTCTCTAATGATCATTGAGCGAGAATTATGTAGAGAAGGAATATACTAAAACCTAGAAAACTGAAAGTACACCACCTGCAAGTCTGGATTTTCCAAGTCCCCATATATGAGTTGATAGAGTAAAGTTTCTTCTAAAAATAGTGGAAACCCAATCTCGCTCCTCTTATCGTTCTCGAGTTATTTAAAAAATAATGGAGAACACTTTTTTTTCCGATACTATGTATTCTGTCATACAAATTCATTTTTTGCTTTGTTTTTTAATTTTTCTTATGATAACCAGTTGGTATGAGATTATTAGCTCATGAGTCACAAGATGATATACGTCGGTTACTCTTAAAATTTCAGTGTACCTAGCCAGGTTAAATAGAATAAGACATTCCTGAGCTATTCTTATCCATTTTATGTCATGAAATCGTACAATAACGACGAATAAATGTCGTAAAAATATAACGTGCTCAAAAGTAACACCGACAATCCACTCTTTTATGATTGTCGTAACCCAAAGAACTAATGATTTCCTCCATAAAGGGCCAAAATTTAAACCTAAAAAAATATATGCAATATGATCATTTAAGTGGTGATTGCCAAGATCGCTTTAAACTTCAATTTAATCAGCTTTTAATTAATCTAAAATGAATAAGTAAAATAATATTCAAGCTTTCTTGCATTTATGTGCGCTGATGAAAAACAAAGCAATCATTGCTGATCTTTGGCTATAATACTCGTTTCTATTAGGAATTTTCACCCTAAAAAAAAAGAGATAACATGTTGTTTCTGTTCTAAATGATGTACAGTGCACTGTGAATTAAGCGTCTGATTTTTTGAATTTTTTTAACGGATGCCAGTATTTAATTCTTTAAAAGTGCACTTTGATTTTTTACCTTAACCTAGAAAAAAATTTAAAATTTCTATTTGTTCGTATTTTTTAAGATTTTGCCTGTAAATTTGTTAATCAACCATTAGATTTAATGGATCGTACTCAGCTAGAAGTTACTGAAGTGAGCTCATTTGACCACAGGACGGATGATAACGATGGTGATGGTAGTAATAATAATGTTGATAAACATAAATCACAGATTATTCAGTATGGTATACTATTAATACTGTGTCACAAACATGCTCATGTTATTTTAATTCAGCTATTTTATTACCGTGTTTTCACATATTATTTTACTTGAAATTTTCTGATCAACTCAATTCGCCACGTTAGGCTAGAAATCCAACAAACATGGATATTTCATTCAATCCACTTCCACATTTACACACAACATCTGAAAAAACTGAGAATAAGAACAGTGAAGATAAAGATGGATTTGATTCCAATGATGATTATGATAATGATCAGCGGCATGCAACACTTTCCAATTATAACAATGACTGTTTGAGTGTTGCAGACAAAAATCAATTAGCATGGAAAGAATTTCATATGATTAATACTTATTCGACGCAACTTGATACCAACGAGTTTTATGAACATTTAGAAGATTTGAAACATTTATTTTTATCGTGGACTGGAAAATAACAGTATGTACAGTTACAAAACCAGCATCTTTCCTACCATAATGGTCAAGCTTTTACAGACATTTTTCAAACAGGCTGATCTGCCAGTTTAAAACGCCCATTCTGGGCTTTTGGTAGATGTAGCGTAGCTCTAGGTTCCTGAGAGAGTATATATGTACTTTAAAAACCGTTTGACTTCCGTAATACTCTTCACATTAATTACCTACAAAGCAGTTCCAGTGGCAGTGTTTATGTGAAAATTGAATGCCAGGCGTTCTTTAGCAAATTTAAAAATTAGAAGATATTGCGTCTTTACCAAACCTCATGTCGGGCTTTAAAAATTTTAAAATAGTTTATTCTTAATCAGCACTGAATGCTCTTTCAAATTTATTGTCGAATTGTCGTTTCAAAATTGTTCTGAACTGCTTTAACCCTCATCCGCCCACGTATAGGACTATCACTCGAATGATGAATATTTTCAAAAAAATATCAAATCTTCAGCATAAAGTTTGTATTTTGAAATTTAATTTGAAATTTGAAAATTTAACTATTTTAAAAGTAAAATATCTCAACTCAGGTAAGCGTTGCAGACTTCGGACAAACGTCATTCGATAGACAAATAAAAATTGAACAGATGCAAGGGTTTGACAATGTTTCCGTATCGCGTGATCCTGGCTTTCTCTGGATTTTTCCTAAATCATGGGCGAAAAACTCAGAATTCTGCCCGTAATTCTCAATTTTCTCTATCATAACTCAACGTTTGAGCAATAAAAATATCATATTCGG